TTTCTCTTTTTCAGACCATTATCTGTAAACTCTTGAGATGGCTGTGCGTGAAAATCCTCGTCTACACTAGCAGTTGCTGAAATACTCAGAACAGCACGTCTGGCACTAACAACCTTGTCGTAGCACAATTTGAATCCACAGACATGGACACCAATATTAATTCTACAATTCACTTAGCAGACGCTTTTATCCAAAGTGACGTACATCAGAGAGTAAGTACAACACAAGCAAGGATCTAGAAAAAAGGGAACAATGTCAGTAAGAGCAAACGATCAGCTTTGAGTCTGATTGGACACACAGGTGCTGACAGGAAGTGACCAGAGGCAAAGCACAACATTGAGGGCAGTTCTTGAGAGCTCTAATCAGTATAGAAACCATCTTATAAGTCGTCGTTATCAAACAAAAACCATCGTCACAACCATCATCATCATCATCAATAATATGGAGACCATCATCATTAAGTTAGTAGGTATTCATGAAAGAGCTGGGTCTTTAGCTTTTTCTTAAAGGCGCAGAGGGTTAATTCCATATTCAATATCAAGCAATCGCAAGACCAATATGAATATCTGCATAGACGACGTTACATAAGCCAGACAACACTTTTAAAATACATTTTGAATCGCAGACACACAACAGAGCGTTTCTTGCATCATGGCCCGAGTTTCCCATGCGAACATGTTTTTACAAACAGTGAGTGATTGATGGGCAGAGGGTCCATGTTAAGCTCCGTGGTAAAGAAGACAGAGACCCTCCGCTATTAATCTCCCAGTGTGTCTTTGCTGAGGACACTGGAGCCAGTCAGAGAGTATTTTTCTGTCTCCTGACCTTGTATAGGTGACGTAGATGTCCTGCATCATTGGATCATATCATGCACTAATGTCTCATACGCTCAATTTCCAGCTTTAAAAAAAATAAAAAAATCATATTTGAAAAGTCTTTGTAGTCTGAGAAGTATAAAGAATACTAAAGACGCATTATAGGAAAATGTTTCTTTTAGGAGTGTCTCGTCCTCCCTTCCTCTCACATTTCTCCCCATGGTCGTCCAAGCCAAACAAGCTTGCAGCAAGTGTGTGTGTGTGTGTACAATTTGCGTGTGTTTTTGTGAAGCTGGACAGCAGGAGACAGAGCACTGGGTTCATGGGAATACATTGCGGGTGTGTGTTAAGTAACTTTTCTCATGTTGTGCTCTGTTGAGACCGGAGGTAAGACACTGAAAACTCATCGGAAATAATTGGAAACAGACACACACACACCCCAAACAGACACACACACAAACACACTTTCAACAGGGCTTTACCTTTTGTATGCATGGACCACATTTTACACACAAACACACATGCATTGACTCACACATTTATACAGAGTTATTAAACGAAGACAGAGTCGTCTTTGTCTTTCAAGTACACAAAAGTGGACTGGAATACGCTTTGGCTCAGCTGTGTGTTTGTGTACATCTGTTCAGGCCGCTCTGTATGTGTGTGTGTGTGTGTTGTGTAATAAGCCATCTGAAGTCTTCTCTAATGGCCCTCATCAAATCCTTGACAGAGTTCCAATCGCAAAAAAAGAAGAGATCCCTGTCTTTCAAATTACCAGACATTACTGTGGAAATCATTATGGGCTGCTGGTTGCTCAAACGGGTATTTTGAGGAAAGCTAATGGTGCTTTTTTTTTTTCCATTTACCTTCAGGTCTGAAAAGATGAAATTGAAGTTGTGAAACAGCAAAAAATAATCTGCTGCTTCACCAGTTTTATGACCTGCGTGTTGGTCAGTGGATGTCGGGAAACGTTTGGCTTGGTTTTTTAAGAAACTTGTTAGCAGAGTTTAGAACTCATTACATTATGAACAATCCCAATCCGACTCACAAAGAAGCAATAATATTGATCAAATTGAATTCTTGTATAGTTTGGAAATATACCCAGGCATATAAAGTGGTATCGCTTGTGGACATGATGATAGAAAAACTGGACTATTAGTCTCAGGAGAGGTCTGCGCTCTTTAAGTGGACTTAAATTAAATTATTCTATCAAACAAATTTACCAATCATTATCTGATTACGGCCATTTTTATTCTCGGAAAATTGAAACTCTCAGGCATTGGTCTATTTTTGAGGCAACAAGCGTTCTTAGAAAGTCAGGCGTTTTCAGACGGCAGGAACTTCCTCATAGTTCTAGGAACTGTTGGGGACCCTCCTCCTTTCTTTTTTATTAATTCTGCACCACAGGAACTATTAGGCAAGGCAAGTTTATTCATAAAGCACATTTCAACAACAAGGCAATTCAAAGTGCTTCAAACAAGACATCAAAAGCATCAGGACAATTATGAACTCTTTTAGTTCCTGGAACCCCGTTTAGAGGAACGTTTTTAGCTCCTGTCAGAGTAGGTACAATGGTGTAAAGTTCTCAGGGAACTCCCAAGTTCCAAATACGTTTGGTCTGAAAACACCTATGGGGAGCTCAATTTTCAGACAGATATCATTGTGAAATCAATTAAGCCGGTTATATAGATGCACACTTTGTAATCCACAAAAACTCTGAAACAACAAACTTGAGACGACTGTAAAAATGCTAAAACATACACCAGGAATACCACAGGCAGATTGAAGTAGGCATTGTTAAATTATTGCTCATGTCTTAGAACTTTTTGTAGTATTGGTTTGGTCTTCCTTAAGAAATGAAATTTGCTCAGATGTCATAGAAATACCGTAGTTGTGCATATTTACTACTGATACCATACTTTAGTGTTGTCGTACTTGAAATCAGTCTTGGTGTCAAGACAGATTGGTCCACTTTTTGAAGGTCTCGTCTTGGAATAGAAAGCATTTTAATTTGGTCTTGTCTCGGCCTCAGACTGGGGGGACCACAGTTTTTAGACCACCACTGATTGGCTACGTTCAAGCATTGCTGTGATTAGAAGGAAATCTTTCTTTCTTAAACAACTAATAACTTTAAGTCATTTGTAGTTTGATTTTTTTCCCCTGGTTACGACGCAACCTTCCGGTGTTAGGGTCTAAATTAAAGACAAGCCTGCTGCACATAAGATGAGGATTTTTCATTGATATCAATGGTCTTAGTCTTGACTCGGTCTCGCCCCGCCATGGTCTCGATCCCTAAATGTCTCGGTCTTGGAGCACTATGGTCCCGGGTGTCTCTTGGCATCGGTTGGCATGGTCTTGACTACAACACCATACTCACTGTAGCATGTTGTGAATGGTGATGGATGAACTCTACCTTCCAAGAACAAATCAGAGGTCAAAGATAAACTCTCTAAGCTCAACTTTTGAATCTGATATAAGAACAGATAATTGGAAGCAAATTTTGGCCGTCTAACTTTAGAGACAAACTCTTGCACGTGTAGTACGGTTGGAGGAATCCAGGTGATTTTGTTTCAGCCCTCAGTCAGTTATTTGTTCTCCTGAGGAGTCCTTGTAGTCCAAGGCTTTCACAACAGTCACACCAATGAACTGACGCACTTGTGGTCGGACCTGGCCTCCAGAGTTTGTTTTGCTCTCATGGCACTGAGTCATGGCCTGAAAAGTTCCCTGGGAATGTGTTTGTTCAACTGATGAGCTCTGGTTTTCACTTCTGGGTGAACCCATTCACTGGATTTCCACCTGTTTTTCTTTTCTTTTCTCTTCTCCCCTCGATATTTTGGCTGGTTCTGTTTCTTGGAAAATGGTTTTCGACTCTGCATGAAATGCCAGGAGTCTTTGGTATTTGCTGAAATCATCTCCTCTTTATTTCGCGTTGGTGAGGCCCAGGCTGTCAGGAGGGACGTTTTGACTGATCTGTGGTTCTTCTTCTTTGTTCCACGTTCGTTTTCTTTTCTTTACATGAACCAGACTCGACTGTCTCATATATCTGTTTGAGTTAATGCAACTCTCAGACAACACAACACAACGAGCTCAGAGAATATATAAAACATGTGTCCATCTGAACGCTCTCACGTGTGTTTTTTAGTCACTGTGGTCCAGACTGGAATATCTCAAATATTGGACAGCTTGCCATAAAAGTTTGTACGGATATTCCCAGTGATCACAACAAATCCCGATGTCATTGAGAAAGCCTCGTTTTGTTTTTTCAGTCTTGTGCCACCATGAGGTTTGTATTTATGGTTTTGAGGCAAACATCTCTTAGACCTTTTGATGGATTGCCTCGAACTTTGGCAAAGCCATTCTTGATTTCGTTATGATGAACAAATGGAAATTGTGATCCTGAACTTTTTCTTCCAGTGCCATCATAACTCCAAAATAGTAATTGTCCAATTCTTTGGTTTATGACCAATACCTGGAAAGTTATACCAGAGTTGGGTTATATTGGTGACTCTAAATTACTCGTAGGTGTGAATGTGAGTGTGGCTGGTTGTCTGTCTCTATATGTCAGCCCTGTGATTGACTGGCGGTTTGTCCAGGGTGTAACCCCGCCTCTCGTCCAATGACAGCTGGGATGTTGTTGCTGGGATGTTGTTGATACTGAAAGTTAGCATGAAGTTCAAAATCCAAAAAGTGCCATCTACTATGACTACTACCATGACTCTGTCTTTGCTGTTATCTTTACCACTCCAGCTACTTAAAGAGGATCAATGGGTTTCCCTGTGCACAGCTGGGATACTCATCAGGGACGCAGCTAGAGCATGATCTAATGAGCCTAAAAGAAAGACAAGGAGATATGTCTTTGTTTAGGAGAAATGTCTGATTTTAGAGCCTTTGATGTTTCCCGCTGTTGTGAATTTATAAGTCTTTTTAAGTCTGAAAGCCAGTGTAAATATTCATCACCACTCAGATTCACAATCCAACTCTTCATAGTACAAATGTTCCAGGAAGAGCAGCCGCATTCTTCACAAAAAAAAGGACAAAAAAGGATGAAATGTGCTTTGGCGTTTGTCTGCAGTGTCTCTGTGCAGATGTGAGGGATGAAAGTACGAGGGGAGAAAAGAAGAAATATTTAAAAAGCAGTAAATCAAGAGGTGGTAATGATAGATGTTGTGTTTTTTGTTTCTTCAGTTTTTTACAGAATATGGACCTGACTACTCGCTGGAGATCAGCCCAAGCTGTAGACCCGACCGTAACGACTCTAAACACCTGGACCAGGTCATCAGCACCATCAAAGGTTTGTGTGTGTGGATGAACAGGTGTGTCTGTTTGTGTCTGGGTGGATAAACAGGTGTCTGTGTGTGTGTATGTGTGTGTGTGTCTCCTTGAACCCTCGCTCACCTAAAGCCTTTCTGTCTCTGTGTGCTTCTTTTCATGTGTGGTTTCATGTGTCTGCTCTCGTTTCTATACGTCCCTGTGTGGGATGAAAGTACAACTTCTTCTCTTTTTTATCTCGTCCTCCCTGCATGCGGCTCTTCACATCCTTTTGTTTTTGTTTGACTGGACTGTCGACCTTTTTTTTTTTTTTAACCCACAACCTCTTTAGATTCAGAGGCTGGGTCTTGATTCATGTGGTATCTTCCCCTCTTTGCATCCTTTTCTTCCTATACATTCAACTACACATGTGAGAATGTGTGTGTGTGTGTGTGTGTGTGTGTGTGTGTGTGTAGTCATGTGGTTCAGCATGAAGTCGGGCCTTTTGGTCTCGGGCGCTGACAGCCCGCATCACCCAGGAGAGATCCTTCATCGGGGGTGAAATTTAGGCAAAAGTTGAGAACAGTTTGAAGGAGTTGAGGTCAGGAGTACGCCTACGACTCCTGTTCATTTTCCGAATGTTAAACTTTTATAAAGCCACGGTTTTTTTTTGAGGGGGAAAAAAAACGAGTCTGCGTTTGGTCATTTAGTGTCTCGTAAATGTTGAATATCCAGTTTGTTGAAGTGTGAACCACAGACCAACAGGAAGTCGTCCTTGCTTTCCCCTCAGTCAGTGAAATGTTTGATTCAACGCAGCAGTCATCCATTCTCCCATTGGAGCGAAGGTGAGAGGAATTTGTGCCATTGTTTGTCTGCAAAAAAAAAAGAAACGCTCCAGACACAGAGAGATGACTTCCAAACAAATGAGTGCAGAGCATTTTAGAGTCAAGGAAACATTGAACAGCGTTCTCAGCTGACTTGATTTAAGCCATGAATATTTGAGCAAAGTTCATGTGGGTGGAAATGCAGCAGATTGACATTGGCGTTGCAATGCCTTGTGGAACATGTAGTTAATGCTGGCATCACACTGCAAACGCAGGAAGTCGTCTGCATAAAAAACACATTTTTTTTCATCTCCATATTAAGGATCTTAATACTCAATCCACCACAGAGGAAAAACAGCTGTATCTAGACATCACATAAAGTGACCATAAAGAGTTGCCTCGGCAAGTTTCTGGTTGCGTCTAAATAACACAGCGTTCACTTTTTACTTTCCAAACTACAACTGTGTCTGTCGTTTCCATCTCACTTTTTTCGGGTGGAAAACTTCAGCTGAGTTTGAATGAAAATCCCAAACGGAGGGAGAAGCATGTGTTCACAAATTGTTCGCCCAATAGAGCGAACGTGGAATCCATTAGCAGCTAAATCGTCATTAAACGGAACAACTCGACTGATTGTAACAACGACAAAAAAACTCTGCTGGACGCTGCAGCGCTTCAATCTAAACAGCGTTAACTCCAGGTCACATCCTAATCGCTGGAGCAGGAGTTTAGAGTTTATATATACGGAAATTCATCCGGGCTGTTGGCTCACATTAAATCATGACAACAGGAGGGGTCGAAAGTATCATACGGCTTTTATTAGGGGCGACAGAGGGAGCTGGAGGAACGGACGAGAGGATGGAGGGAATAAAAAAAAGGAGGAGTAATTAAATACAGACGAGGAAAAGATGGAGAGAAAGTGGGAACACTCTGTGTGTTTGGCTGCTGCATCTGCTGCACATCTGCATTTCTTGTTATCGTCCCCGCAACTGCTGCAACTGCATTTTCAGTTTAACACTTCCACAGTTCCAGCTTTTTTATTTTATTCCTCGAATGCATTGGATTTCTTGTTTTTTTTCCCATACAACACATTTAAAAAGTAGTGTTTTTGTTCCTTTTTTCTTCTCTGGTTTTGTCTCCACTGCTGGACAAACATGATCCAATTTTGCTCCACTGACCATTTCTTCATATGTTTCTAAATTTCATTTTTCTTCCTCTATTTCCTGCCTCCACTGCTTTCTTTCACTGACGTTTTTGATCTTTATTTCAACCTGTCACATCTATTTTATGTCTTTCTTTCATTTTTCTTCTCCTCAATCCTTCATTCTGTCACATCAGAAACGACTTTTTTGACGGACGACTTCACTCACCAAACGCTTCGCCACAAAACAAGCACACCAAAAAAGTGCATTTTTTAAATACAGGAGTAAATGTGCGTGTCAGTTTGTCTCCGTCCTGATTAAATAAAGGTGCAGTACATGCGAGCTAAAGTCACTTTTGCACACACATGAACACAGAATAACACACACACACACACACCTCGAGGCAAACTTATCCACATGACATCATCGGGGTGGATAAGTGTTTCTCTGGTTTGGCCGTGCTTCTTATAAACACTGGTTTCCCTGAGAAACTCGCCAGTTTGAGTCTGTGTGTGTGTGTGTGTGCGTGTGCGCGCGCCCACATCTGCTCCGTGTGCTGGCACGAATACACCGTCAAGATTTGAATCTTAAAGAGGTAATCTCCAGAAATCGTTTATTTTTTTCGTCTTTGTTCAGCATGTGATATGTCTCAAACCAAAATGTTAAACAAGCACAAGAAGGTGAATCCATCGTTTACACATCGAAGCAATATGTATGTGGTGAGTGAATGTGTGACAGAATACCATCATGTATGAGCATGCGTTCAAGTGCCATCTTATGCTAAGCTAGGCTAATCAGGTGCTTAGATGGTATGGAATGAAGCCAATGCGGAAGTGTAAAATCCTGAATTTCGTCGAATGTCCGCTTGAGACAGGCCGTTTGGAGATTTTCCCCTCATGTCATCACAAAGGGCAGTAGCCCCTCCCCCCAGGTGGGTGACACTCCCACAGCTAGGTGTTTGTTCTGCCCTCTGAGTCTGCCTTCTCACCGTAAACAATAAGACATGGAGCGAGAAAACATCAAGTACACCCAAGCCCTTCCAGAGAGGGGGCGTGGTCAGACACAGCTCATTTACATATTTAAAGGTACAGACACAGAAACAGCCTGTTCTGAGCAGGGCTGAAATAGAGGGGTTTATAGACATGATCAAATACAGGATCAGAGTGGATTTAGAACAAGAAACTTCACACACATGTCTTTGGGAGCTCTAAGACTTATTTAAACTGGTTGAAGAGGAGGAGAATATGTGACCTTTAAAAACATGTAGAAATATTTATTTCTGGCTTATAAGAGCAACACAGAAAGTACTACCCCCTATAGCAGGGTCTTTTTTTAGGTGTACATCTGTTAACCCAGATCTACATTTAGACCCAGGTAGATTTGGTGAAAACACACTTTCTGGGGTAAAGGTCTTCCGGTGGAAACTGTTCAATCGAGCCTTCCCAACCAACTCAGTTTATTTAGCAGAAACACGTCAGCTTCTATTTTTAGTCCCAATAAAAACTGGTCTTAAAATTTGCCTCTGACTGGTTTCAGGAATAAACTTATGATACACTTTGAAAAAACATTTACACAACAAATAACAATACGGCAGAATGAGCTTTTTTTTTTTTACTGTTTCTTAGTTACTCAGTCTTTCCTTTAGTCCAAACACACTGAGGCTTGTGTTAATTAAAAATGAGATTTTATTTTTATTAGGTGATTGTCGGATACGGCAGCAGCTGTCTGACTGTGTATTCACAACTCCCCGTGTTTACGAGGGTCTGGTAGCGTGATTTCCCCGGGGGGCTGTGTCTCTCTGTGTGTGTGTGTGTGTGTGTGTGTTCAGCTTCATCAGTGTGACGCGAGCGTGTGACTGTATCTTATCTGTGTGTGTCAGCATGGAGATATTTCAGCGCCTTTACGTCCCGCTACTCGCGCTCGTTAATTCTCCCCGCCGCCGCTGCTACTGACAAGCCGCTTGTCATGTCAGGAAAACACACACACACACACACACACACAGGTACACACACCCTAGAGATTAAAAAATATGTTCCGAGAGAGAAAATACACGTCCAAACTTAAATATGAGAAATACAACCATGTGTAAGTGTACTTCAGCCACCCACAGATGCTGCGATAGATTAACGGGAGCGGGTAGTAAATATCCGAGGCCTCCGCGGTCGCTCGTCACTTTAGCTGAATTTACCGTGGACATCTGGAAAGAGAAGAGAAGCAGAGAGATGGAGGAGAGATGAGAGGGCGGGGGGGGGGGGGGGGGTAATCTGCAACTACTTCCTTATTCATACTTTCAATTTATCTATGAGCCTATAAAATAAATAAAAAGCCCCTCACTACTTTCAAAAACCAAAGTGAAGTCTTCAGACAGGCTTTTTCTAGCACATTACCATATTCAAGAACTCTCAGAGACGGGAATAAACGGTGAACGTCGACTTTTGTCTGAAACCACCAACATGCTGCCGACTTCTTTCTCAAACAGTATATACAGCAGACTTCTTACCTGACCATTAATATGCCGTTAGCAACATAATAAACTGCGGATCAGGTGACGTATTTCCAGTCCGAGTTGTTTGAAGATAGCATCAAGTAGGGCTTTCACACTAAACTCCCCCCCTCTTCCCCCGAGAATTCCCATAGGAGTTGTATATTTGAACTCAAAAAGCCGACTATTCTGCTCGGACTTCACCCGGAGTTTCAAGTCCGAGTGAGCTGATGATGTGAGAGAACACAGTAGGATATTCTCCGGAGAATTCACCTCGAGCCAATGGGGGGGGAGGGGAGCGACGTTGTCCGTGAAACAGCTGCATTAACTTTTTTTGTTTTCCGGTATGTTCTTCTCCGCTTTTTTGTTGATGGTGTGATTTCATAGAACTGCGCGTAGCATGGATGTAAAAGGCAAATATTCTCATATAGCGGACTCTGTTGATTCGTCCACTATTTCCGCACCGTTTTTTTACGTCAGGTCTTACTTCCCCCGTTTGAGAGGGATAGTCTTCCTCTGTGAGGTGTCTTCAGAAACCAACGGGTGACGTCACTGAGACTGCGTCCATGTTTCTTACATCTTGATGACTTCATTGTGGCTATACTCCACCAAGTCCAGTTATCGTGATTTTTTTTCTTTTAAATTCTGGGTGGGAATCTGTGCCTTCTGGCAGCATGTAGACTTTCTAAGTGACTCAGGAGGTTGAGGTTGAGGTTTTTGTTGTTGTTGATGATCTCCACAACAGTTAAAAAACAAACCGTAGCCAACCTGTTAAGGTAAGTGTCTTCACCTCCTGTGAGATACAGACAGAGAGAGTGAGGTGGAATAATCAGCATCCAGGGGACAAACACGTCATGTAAACACAAGAAACAGTTTAGTGTTTCCACAGTGCTTTGTGATAAGGCTGTTATTGTTGTTGTTGTTGTTGTTGTTGTTGTTGTCAGCGTGTGCTGAAACATGACAGGAGCAGAGTGACGGCTCCACAATGGTCGACAAACAGGACATCCTCCCTCACTGCACCAGGGCTGTGTGCTGTTTGTCAGAGCCATTACTCATCCAACCTGTGTGTGTGTGTGTGTGTGTGTGTGTGTGTGTGTGTGTGTGTGTGTGTGTGTGTGTGTGTGTGTGTGTGTGTGTGTGTGTGTGTGTGTGTGTGTGTGTGTGTGTGTGTGTGTGTGTGTGTGTGTGTGTGTGTGTGTGTGTGTGTGTGTGTGTGTGTGTGTGTACGTCTGTAAGTGTGCAACATGTAGATTTTTCCCTCAATAAGGCAATTTAACATAACAAAGGACAAACAAAGCAGCATTGTTCACAGTTTAACATGTAAAGAAAACTGACGACTAGACTTTAAAATGCAGCTTGTGTGTGTGTGTGTGTCTGTGTGTGTGTATGTGTGTGTGTGTAAACCAATCTGTGTGTCCTCATGCAAATGAAGTCACAGTGCTTAATGTTGTCATTTCCATATCGATTTCCTCTTTTGCATCCTTGTATATCTCCGACCAGATGTTATTTTGCATTTCACTGACACAATAGTGTGTCTGTTTGTGTGTGTTAGTGTATATGTGTGTGTTAAAATGTGTGTGCATGTCTCCTCCTCCTCGCTGTGGTTTGTCCTGGTGTCTGATATGTGTTTTTAGCCTCTTTTTTTTGTACCCACTTGAAGCGATGATTTTGACCTTTTTCCCTTCCTCCTGTTTTGTGTGTGTGTGTGTGTGTGTGTGTGTGTGTGTGTGTGTGTGTGTGTGTGTGTGTGTCCGTGTCCTTACATGTGTGTTTCCACTCCCCTGTACCCTCACCCCCCCTTCCCCTCCTCCTCCTCCTCCTCCTCACCCCTCTCATTTCTCTCTCTCTCTCTTTCTCTTGTTTACAGGGAATTTGAAGAATGTGGTTTAAGACTCAGCAGCCTCAGCCTCCTCACTCACACACACACACACACACACACACACACACACACACACAGAGTTTCCAAACCAGGTCGAGGCTCTGCGGCTTTAATGAAGACAATATGGAGCGGACCCCTTCGGCCCCGAGGCACTGAGCGAACGAGGGAGGGAACGAGAGAGCAAGAGAAGGTTTTGGAAAACATTAGCCGAGTGTTTCCAGGGGAAAACAGTTTAATAACGGGGGGCGGGGGAAGGGGGGGGGGGGGTTGGGGTGATGTGGTCGCTGTACAGTTCACTGTTTTTAATCCTTTTGTTTTTAAAGAGATCCTTTTTTTTTGTTTAAGAGAAATGTTCGTCTGCTCTTCCAATGAGAGAGTTTGTGCTGAGTTCAATGTGGCTTCGTAAAGTTTCTGAAAAGATGCATTTGTGTCCGGTCGATTCGTCTGAGACATTTTTATAAACGTTAAAACAGATTTTTTCAGGTGTCTGGTTTCACGTTCAAACCCCGGTGCCGCTGTGATTTTATCTCCCTCGGGGGGTCGGATAAGCTCCGAAACAGACAAGTTTTTCCTCCCAAACGCCTCCCTTTTTATTTATACTTTGTGTCCAGACGTTCCAGAAGTACGATGAAAATGAATGCAAAGAAACATTTGGAAGTTTACAAACAAATATACAGATGTTTTGATCTCTGGGCAACATCTGCAAATGAAACATCTGGATGGAGTTTTTGGATTTACAAACGGAAAACATGCAGGGAAAGTTAATTTTTTTTCTCCCCCCCCCCCATTGACAAGGCATTAACATGAACTCTAAAGGAGGTTTACATAAAAAGTCCCCAAGTGGTCTGGCACGACTCAAGACCAACAACAACAAAAATCAATTCATTTAAGGACATTAAACAAACATGGACACCGTTCAAGGACTGAAAGATCCAGGTTTTCTCTCAAGGACTAAATCCCTGAAAAATGTCATTTTCTTACAAACATCTTCAGCTAGTTTTGGGCATCTGGGAAAAATGTCTACAAACACAACCATTCTTTATTTCAGGACGTTTAAATGCCCCCCAAAAAACCTTAAATCGTCACAAAGCATACTTGATTATTTGCACATCTTGAAGTTTTGAAAATGGAAACGATCCCCCCTCCAGATGTAGTTATTGTCACATTAAAACATCAATTCAGGGACCAAACATCTTCAGATCCTCCTCATAAAACTGAGGCACATGTTGGGGATCTGGACACGATGGAAACATAAAGGAGTACTAAATGTTAGCAGCATCACACACACGTCGACAAATCCACTTTTTTAAAATTCCGACTTAAATATCTGAAAGTTTGCATTAATCACTCCAAGTGTTTGAGGCCCCGTGTTCACCTCGCGTTTTGTTTCTGAGCGCCAGCGTTTTGTTTTTTTTTTGCAGTTGTTTTCGATGAGTAGAGAGCGTTAGCAGCAGCTAGCGGCCGCCTGGAGATAAAGCATAGCGCCCCCCCCCCCCAATTCCCAACATATGCATGTGAAAAATGTCTGAACTCTTGAAATGAACCGCCAACAAACATGGCATGTTGTGCAGGAATATTCAAGCATCGTCTGCGAAACATGTTCAACAAGTCAAAGAAAGTACTGTAAACACTTTTATTTTTGTCATCTGTTTTCACAGAATCCTTTTTTTTTTTTTACTGTTTGCGTGTTTTGATGTACATACCAGGGGGGCGTTTTCTGAAATAAAAGACAGGAGGGCATGTTGTTGTCATGTGTCTTTGCCGTGTTTGAACGGTGATTTATGCCGTGTGGGACGCTTAATAGAGGCTTTAATGGAGAGAGCGTTTGAAAGAGGAACCACAAATGTCGGCCAGTTTCCTTTAGAAGTGATGTTCCTCAAATTAATGGCCCTGGAAATTCACACCAAATGTAGGAGTCACCAGTCAGCGCTGGCATGTGCTGAACAGAAGTGAGCTCCTTTGTGTGTGTGTGTGTGTGTGTGCGAGGATTCCCTGTGATCTTTATGAACACGGCTGCGGTCACCTCGGCGGTTTGAGCCCAACGTAGCCGAAGCAAATGAAACTCATTACGCCGTTTACGAGTTTGGAGAAGGAGAGACGATTGAAATTCTATCTTGTAAACTGGGAGGAGGAGGCGGAGGGCAGGGGGTTTACACGGTACCAGGCAGGGGGCTGTAAACATGAGAGACGTGAGAGAGAGAGACTGGAGTGTGTTTATGCCCGGGTTTCTTTTTTGTGCTCCGCAGAGTCAAATTAGTAAAAACTCAGGGGGCCTCCAGAGGATTCAGGGCACTGCTGGAATCCTTAAATCGCATTTTCTCAAAATAAAAGCAAAAAGATTGTGTTACATTGTGACCCGAACCATCTTATTTTTTTTAGAAAAGCAGGATTTTCTTTGGTTGTTTACATTTGCATTCCCATCCAAAAAACACCAACAAGAATTCCCAAAAGCTTGAAAAAGCAAAAGATATCTTGAGCTCACGTCTTTGTGTTTGCTTGTGGATATATATTTGTGGTTTCTAATACCAATGCTTTCCCATGGCATCAGTCTCCAGAAACATTAAAAAAACACATTTTATGTTTTAGTATCCATGGAGTTAACATGCATGTTGGATGATTAAGCACCATCAAGATTTATGTCCAGTGCTAACATTTGGTGCCTTGTTAAAGTTAAAAAAGTAAGAAAACATCAATCCATGTACATCCACAAACCTCAAAAAGTGGGATGGACCCTGATCGAGTAATGTTTCATTGCTGGCCTAGTGGTTGAAATTACATGCTACGAGTATTGGATCTCTAAAAATGTTCAGAACTGAAAGCCCCCAATCCAGTGTTCCTGTACTTCCAGGAAGGATGAATCAACAAGTAGGGACTTTTTGGGAAGTATAAAAATCGTTCACAGAACACATTTTGGACGCTTGACTCCTGTGGTGACTTCCTTTAAAAGTTCCTACTCCCTCAGTAAAGTTAATGTGGTAACAACACCACTTAATTGGTCATAAAATTCACAATCATAGTTCAAAGAGAAGTTCATAATTTGAAGACGATTTAACAAAACGTGTATTTTTCTTGTGGCAAAGCTTTCCTCCTTCGGGATACATTTTGTGTTATATAACTTTGGTCAACTTCTAACCCCTTTGCATGGAATTTACATTACCTACAGATGCAATAGTGGAAAAATGAAAATCCAAATTATACCAGCCATGTGATGTAACATATACTGTAAGAGAAAATCTGTCTTCCAACATTACAGCCAAAACAGAGGTCAAGCTGTCAGCACTGAGCTGTAATTTGTCTTTTGGCTCAACAGTCTTCCTCCAAACACTTGCGGATCAGTTTTTTCCTATTTGGAAACAGAGGGCAGCGCTGGAATCTATGGAATAAAAGTGTTTTACCAATCAGAAGGTGATGAGTTTTTAAAGCTCCACTGACTGTAGCTAGTTTTTTCTGTGACTCCGTCAGCTTTCTTAAAACTCAAAATGATAATTTTTTTTGTGAAGTCCAGGTTGATTACAAAGTGTTCCAGAGCCAGAAATGTCTAACTGGTTTTACTTGGATCAACAGGTTCTCATTGACTGGATGTCTCCCCATTCTGGCTTTAATTGTGCATACCTTTATTCCCCATGAACAACACAAAAAAACTTCCAACGACTTTTATGCAAATCAGCACTGGGGCCTCCTTCACCACCCAGGAAGTGCTTTGAATAGAGTATCATCTGACCTACACTGCTGATTAGTTTAGATAAACTGAAGACTCGTCCTTCCTCTTCCTTTGTTTGCTTTTCTGGGGTTTCCGTTGGGTACTGGGTTTGCCAGTTGCACCAAACGTTTGCATAAGTATTGTAAAGCATTTTGTCATACATGGATATATCTGAAAAAACCATCAGATTGCATCGACTTTGGGAGAAAAAATAACTTTTAAGAGTCTGAACCTTGGGGAATCCATTGAGTACGTCGAGGGTTTTGTCCGTCTCATATTGGAACAAAAGTCAAGTTTTGCAATTTAACCATTACAATGTAAATATATGTCTACTGAAATTGAAAGCAAAAACAGTTTTGCTTGTAAATCCTGTTGGTTAAAATATCACAAAACACTTAAATAATGTTAGATATTGGAATTGTCCATGTAATCTTTAGAGGTTTTATTGCCTTTTCAACCAACATTAGAACAAAAGTGTGGTTCTGTTTGACCAACATGCAATGATTATTTGTCTCCTGAAGTAAAAATACTAAACTAATTGTCATTTAAAGCTTTTGACAAACAGGGAACTTCAGGGAATCTACTTCATGAGAAAAGGGAAGTTTCCAGAGGTTAATCTGCGTCTCTTTTTTCGGGCCAGTTTGTCATTAAACCTTAAAGCTCAAACTCTGGTAGTTTGACCAACACAAGGTTGTCCTGGAAAGCTTGTTTGGGATTTTCCAAAACACTTAAAGTTGTATCAGCTCTGTGAGTAAAAGAGCATTAATCACTTGCTAAATCCATCGAGTTCCTAAGAGCTATCAGCACTTCTTTTGTCTCATTTCATAACCGGCAATTTAACCAACAAGAAATAATTGTCACAATGAAATGGAAAGGGGTTTGTTAAGTAAAGCCTGTTAATACGGGAGGTAGTACAAAACGGTACTGAAAGAAAGAGTTTTCCACTGCTGAAGTATTGGGGAATCCACGCCATTGTCAAAGGTGTCATCGCCCTTTTCAACCTACCACAAAACATTATTCCAGATCTGGCAGTTTAGTCAACATGCTATAATTACTCGTCTAAAGAAATGGAAATCACACAAGACGTTTGTCTAGTTAAGCCTGTTGAAATGACGGGGAACTTTCCAAAACACTTTCTACTTTAGGAGAAAGCAAAAAGTTTCCAAAGCTTAAACAATCAGAAATCAATGTCCCTCTCTTTTTTTTTTTTTTAAAGGTTTCATGTCTTTCTTTTAGTCATCAAAAAGTCCAACTCTGGCAGTTCGACCAACATGCTACAGCTCTTTGTCTTGCTGAAATGGAAAATTACAAATGGCTTGTCTTGTAAAGTTTGTTGAAGTCTGGATCATTTTCCAAAACACTTCATTTTGTTTAGACTCCGGAAAGAAAAAAAATGGACTTTGAAGAGTTTAAATATTGGGAAATCCATATGTTTCATGAAGCTTATTGCCTTTAAATCAATCCCATATCCAATTACAGATCTGGCACTTTGACCAACATGCATCAGTTATTCGTCTTCTAAAATTGGAATCACAAAAAAGGTTTCTGTTGAAAGTCTTCTGCTGGAGAAAGTATCCAGAGAGGTTTTCCAAATCTGTTCTGTTTTTAATCATTATTTTAGTCCAACCTTGGAACAAAAGTCCAGTTTTGGCAGTTTGACCAACATGCTATGATTATTTGTCTGCTTAGATGGAAATCACAAACGGTTTGTTTGATTTGCATAAAGTCCCTTCCCCACCCACCTCTCCTCATGGGAACAAAGTAACAGGGGGGCCTACATCTATATATGTCCTCCTCCTCATCAACATGTGAAGTGTCTGCGGTCAATGGCGGAGGGGATTTACGCAGCACAATAAAGACAGATGCCACCTTTTATCTGCTTAACGGAAGAGAAGGCCGAGCGCGTGGCACTTGACCGCGCCGAAGCATGTTGTTGGCGCGTAATGACGTCCTCCCTCCACCGGACTATTGAGATGAATGGCGATGGGTGGTGAATGGACTTGTTCTTTTTTGAGCGAGGCGTGGGGGGAGGGATGAATTGGCGGTTCCCAATTGACACTTTTGGGTGGTTTTTCTTACTCCCCCAAAACAGCTTTTGTTTGTCCCTCGTGAATAAAATCCACCAAATCCAGCAGCAGAAGAAGCAGTGTTGAGCTAACCCTGGAGAAAATGTTATTACCGTTAGCCTGAAAAAGAATGATCAACTATGGAACATGATATTTAGCAACAAGTTGATTAAAAGTGGGCTTTTCGGCGGAGAATTTAGCCAATGCCAATAGCTGGCCCTTACTGGTAACATATATTTTTTAAGGTTTTGATTAACAGGCAGTCTTTTGTCAACTCCTGGACACAATATTCAACAAAATCGGTTTTCAGTCAGTAATTGATATTTCGCAAAAATCAGTCAGAAATTTGTTTTTTTGCCTCAAGCAAGTACAAGAAGTCCTGTTTTGTAGAAACATTAACAAATAACAGAGTGTTCTCAATTATCATTATTGTCCTTTTGTATTGTTCTGTTTGTAATGATGGTCTGTCCGTATTGATAACGCTGATTATGTTGATTTTATATATTTGTCATACTGCTGTTTATTAGTGTTTTATGTTAGCTTAAATCCTAGCCTAGCAAGAATGTGTGACCAATTACAATCAAGCAATAGAAATGGGAAAATTGTGTAATAAAGAGGATTTTAATGATGCCATTAAAATGACGGGTTGTACGTTTTGATTTGTTAGGGATGTGAGGGAAAGTCATCAATATTTATGGGATTTTTTGTCTTCACATCAGCTTTTACTGAGATGTCACGTTTTATTTTAAAAGTTGGTAAATTAGCCGTTTATTGGAAGCACCAAATCCCAAAAGTATACACAAGTTGCTCAAACATTATTTCCTGTGTTGCAACCACCGACCAGCCTGCCTCAATAAATCACTCTGAACAAATTCAGTGTCATCAGTGTCTCTAATCACACAAGGACATCTCAACAAAAAGAACATGTAGTTATGCAAATCATTCACAGACCACCTCTCTCTCTCTCTCTCTCTCTCTCTCTCTCACTCTCTCTGTCTCTGAGCGAGTGACACACACAAAGACAGATCTCTCTGAAATGGTCCATTTGATTCCTGATGGTGTTTGCTTCAGAATGAGGAACATCTGCCCTGCAGGACGGCAACATCCAAACTCCGGAGGCTGGATTAGAGCGGGATCTGGAACGGGAGAGAAATTTGGGATGACATGTTGATTCCAAAACAACGATTGGTGAAAAATAATCGACCCATTGAGAGCAGTCTGTCAGTGTCAGGGTCACATTTGAATATGAGTTTTCTTCACAACAGTTCATGTGTTGGACTCCACACTTGGCAGGTGTTTTGTCAAGGACCCAAGTCAATGCAGTGTCCAATATAAAGTTGTTTGGATCTGAAATGTTGAGGATGTACGCAAATATTGGAGGCATTGCAGTCATTCAAGAGATTCAGGATCTGGACATTTTCCTAAATTGCCTTTTAAGTATCAACCTCACAGTTGGAGGTTGTTTTTTTGTCAGACACTTTTACAATTAAAAATACTCAAAATAATTAAACTGAGGCAGGATTTTGCGGAGGTTGCCGCTTAATTATAAAACCTCCTCACAGCATCTTTGAGTTTTCATTTTTATTCCTGTGCATCTTATTAAATAATAAAAAAAAAGTATTTGAAATGTAAAATGATTTGTATTGTAGCATGAAAAACAAAAATAGGGGAAAGCAAGCACAGTCAGTCGTTACACTTCATACAGATGAACACAGTTTCTAATGAGTGACCCTTTAATTCAACTTATTCCATCCAAGCTGGTTTGATGAGGCCACGCCCACTCATGTTCGCCCCAGCCAATAGGATGCACCCATTTAGAATCCTTTGAAAATCCAGTGCCTTGGTTTTGGACTTCAGCATGCCCAGACACACACACACTAACACACACACACACACACACACACACACTGAGGCTGGTCAGTGAGGAGAGAGAGAGAGAGAGAGAGAGAGAGAGAGAGAGTGAGAGAGAGAGCGCGGAACAAAATGCTTTTTATTCAGTAACAGGCTCATTGAGGAGCTGACAGACCCCTCCAGAGACCCTCCAGAGACCCTGCAGAGCCTCACTTAACAACACGCTTCATTCCTGCTGGAGTCCAACCAGCCGCAGTCTCCGGGTTTGTCTCTCTTCACTGGAACACCTCGGGACTCTGCAGACTTTGAAATACTTTCTCTTGGACTGCACCGGGCTTTTCTCACAGGTTGGTAACCTACTCTTTTTTTTTTTTTTTTTATATCTGTCTTTGCTGTTGACAGGGTGTGTGTTGTCAGTGTGTGTTTCTGCTCTTAAAGTGTTCAGTGAAAGTTTCTCCTTCTTCTTGTCTGTCAAGTGTTTACATAACATTTCAAATGAGGTCAAGCGTTTTTTCTGCCTGCAGCTGAAGAAGCTTCTGTTTGAGCCCATAAATGTCACATTACCATCTTTCACACATCCTCTTCGAATCATCTTTTTAAATGACACTGGGTTGACATTATTGCGAAGACACACACAAGTGGAGTTAAATGGAAAGATGTGTGTTTTCTTTTCATTGCATAACAACAAAGTTTTGGAATTTTTGCAAGTATGTATTTTGTGATTCTTTAAACATCTCCTAAATCACTTAAAAATGTCATTTTTTTAAAGGTGCAGAAAATCAGTGTGTGTGTGTGTGTGTGTGTGTGTGTGTGTGTGTGTCTAAATTTGCTTCTTATTAGTGTAAAGTTGGAGGCAATTAAAGCGCGTGGTGAATGCGTCATGCTGTGGCAGCATATGGTCCGTGTGTGTGTGTGTGTGTGTGTGTGTGTGTGTGTGTGTGTGTGTGTGTGTGTGTGTGTGTGTGTGTGTGAAAGGGAAAGAGAGACAGACTGACGTTTCAATTTGCTCGTCACGCTTTAATTGTGTAATTGAAACCTCTGTTGTCGGCGGTGAGAGAGAGAGAGAGAGGGGTGTGTGTGTGTAATTGAGAAAGTGAAGAAACTTCCCTCCATTGTTCTTATTTGTCATCCTAAGTTTGCACAATTATCCTGTTTGCTATCAATATGCTGTGTATTCAGTGTTAATTGGTCACTTAGTTAAACACTGAGGTCCATTAGGAAGCTTCTTTTAATCCCTCCATCAGGACTTGTATGAATCTCTCCACTGGGCACTTTGTGGGACTTCAGTTTGGCTGAAAACAGGTTGAAGTTGGGTTTAAATGTCTTGGATCCAATTTTAGAAAAAAGTTCTGCATGCTGTTCAGCTCCCTGTGTGCAGTCTTATTTAACCAGGGCAACATTTTGATCAGAAAAAACCTCTCTGAGTTTTCTCTTGGACCTAATTTTAACCATTTTTTTTCAACCAGCCAAAAAATTATTATAACGTCAAGGTGTCGGAAACACGTGTTCGTCTTCAAATCTTTAAACACCTTGTTCATTTTAGCATTGAAAATGATGATTGTGGCAGCATTACTCCAAAATAGTTTTGCGGGGGAGGGGCCGATGAAACCAGTCCATGCAAAGACTTAATTCAAAGCTGTTTTATTGTTCATACAGAAATCAGAAACACAGCGCTTCATGGGATGTGTGACATTAACAGAAAGGTTTAGAGACTTTGTAAAGAGTCTAATCCAACTGAAAGGTCCATTAAGGAAATTAGTCATTAAAGGACTTGTACGAATAGCCCATGTTTGACTCGCGCAAAGAATACCAAGAGAAATTAAAGAAAGTCTCCCTACAGACTGGAATTAAAGCCTAACATTTGTGAACTAGGCTGGATATTTTGTAACATATAACATGTATTATATATATTTTACAACAGGTGCAGGTGACATTTTCTGTTGACAGTTCAAAAAATCAGTTAGCAGGCTGATTGGCTAGTAAGCGAGCTCAGACCATAGACTGTAAACAAACATCGACGACAGCCTGAGTGATGTCACCCATTGGGGGGGTCTCCATGCTGGAAATGCTGTCTCAACCTAACTTTCAGTCAACCCAACGACAGGCTGAGAGCTGGAGCTGAGGCAAGTTTTAAACCTCCTGACAAACAGGTCAGGTCAGCCATGCGCTTTATTATCAACAACTCTTATCCTAAAATCAAAACAAATTAGTTATAAAAAATGTCTTCCCCTGAACAGTCGGTAAAGACATGAGCTATTCACACCAATTACATTTTTGAACCAGGCTGTAAACATGTTAATTTCTGATGTGAAAACAGGCACTTTTTGAATGGGTGTGTATGTGGCTTCCAGGGCTTCTGCAGCCAGCCTCTAGTGGACACTCGAGGAACTGCAGGTTTTTTTGCACTTCCGCATCGGCTTCATTTTTTTCAACCCCGTAGAGGTTACCGGTTGGTTCAAATATCTTGTTTATCATATTGCTTTAATTCATCACAATACAAAGAAGTGTATGTCTAGCTGATGAGAAATCAGATACAGAAAATCTTCAAGGCCTCATATTCGATAAAAAGGATGGGATCGCTGTGGCAAAAATCAACTCAAGCAGACTTCTCAGTTCGACTGTCATTCTCTCACAATATTTACCACATAAAACATCCGTGTAATGAGCCATTACTCAAAGATCCAGAGAAGTAATGGGCAGCATTATCAATAATCTCTGAAGTCGTTTTTTAAGCCACATTGCCAGTATAATTGATGTCCCACCTTTTTGAATGATAATGATCTTTGCTGCAAATATTGAAGGTAGAATCCATTTTTAGAAATCACCTTTGGCTCAATATGATTACAGTTGGCCGTTTCAGACCTGATACACACACAGAGAAGTCGTAACTGTCGGAAATTTGGAGCGTTAATCTGGCAGGGAGAGCAGACCTTCATGCCTGATAATTAAAACAAATGAAGACTTTTCACAGCCAAGACAGCCGCAGCAGCACAACACACCACTAATGAAATCTTTTTTTCAGGGAAACCATAAGTGCTGGCTGATTTCACAATCTCATAAAAAAAAAAAAAAGTGTTGGAAGAAAACAATGAGTCAGGTCAGCTGTGAACAGGAAAAAACATTGGCGCTCCTCCAGCAGCTTCTCACAGCATCCTTCCTACCTCGGACCGAAAACGTCTGAGAGGAGAGGGGCGAACGCTTTGGGTGTTTTTTTCCATGTCAAATCCATCCTCGTTTCAAAGACTGAAAAGAAAACAGGATGCTGCAGGGTTCTAAAATACCGTTTAGTCGACTAAGAATTCTGTGGAAGGATTTTTATTGCATGCATTTTCTATCCACTTTTGTTATATAAATAAGAGTCAGGTGTTTAGCCAATGCAGAACAATTCAAACTCTGTACTCTGTGCATACATTGAACATTCACACAAAAACAAGTGGATGGAAACCAACAACCTGGCCGCTGTGAAGCACTAGTTTGTGCTTAATTTTCTCAAGTGTGGAAAAGTATCCACGTCCAACTCCAGACTTTATTTTGAGCCAATTGGACGCATCTTAATTAGTCAGTGGTGGAAGTATTTTTCTTTGCCAGAGGTTTTAGTTAATGCGTCTTTAAAATGCAAGATGTCTGTTTATTATTATTATTTGTGTCATTTTTGTGTGTGTGTGTGTGTGTGTGTGTGTGTGTGTGTGTTCTTTTCCATGCCTGAGAGAAGAATGTGTGCAGCCCAGTTTTTTCATTTGTTTTGTTTGTGTCTCCTGCGGACTCGATGTGCTGCTGAAGCTTTGCTCTGCAGACACACCGTGTGCAGCCTGGTCCTGACAGTAATCAGTCAATGAATAATGAAGAAACACGCACACATAGACCTGCCACTGACAGCTGTTTGGTATCTTTGTGTGTGTGTGTGTGTGTATATGTGTGTGTGTGTTAACTCTATCAGTCGAGTGCAGCTGCATGCCTGCCTGTAGCAATTATGTTCTCGCTAAATAAGAGCCGGTGCTGGGAGGAGGGGTGTGTGTGTGTGTGTGTGTTTGTGAAGACAGACACATACTATTCAGCGATTAACTTACTCAAAGAGGACAGCCGCATGATGTGAGTGTGTGTGTTAGGCACACACACATGCTGTTTGAACCGTGTGTAATATAAACCAGCTCTGGGACTTAAACATGAGCCTCTATAGGAGTCTCTTTGCAAGACGCACACATTCAACCTTTTTTTTTATACTCCACACACATTTCAATGACTTTTTCTCAATGTGTAATGCTCCACACAACACACACTTTTTTTTCCATTCACAGATACACACACACACACACACACACACACACACACACACACACACACACACACACACACACACACAGTCAGACATATGCTGTGTTCTCAGGGACCTGCACTATGTGACCCAATCGCTCTTTAAGATCCTCAAAGGCTCTGTTGTGTTACAAACTCCATTCACACACACACACACACACACACGCACACACACACACGCGCACGCACACACAACAGACGTAGACCTATAAACACGCTCTAAATCCTTTGGTACCCACAGGCCTTCTCCCCCGCAGCCTTTTCATGGTTAATTTGCTTCTCAATAGGTCAAGAGGAAAAGCAGACATCAAGCGAAAACACACGCAAAAAAATCAAGTCTTTCTTGAGTCATGCGGACGCCCAGGCTCCGAGGTCGACTTGTTTTCCCAGACAGATCTGACTCTGATGATTGACTGGGTCATAAGAACACGAGTAAAGCCGCTCCTTAAGTCAACAACGCTGTTTCTTGTTGCGGTATGAAGTAGCCGCTTGTTTGTGCGGAAAACACTATTGATTTATTTGTCAGCTGCTCTTTCATTGACAAATGTTCAACACAAGCCAGAAGTGATTTGTTTATTTTCTCCAGAAAGTGTGTTTTCTTAAAGACACTGACAGACATAGACCTTTAAGTGTCTAACCCAGCATTTAAGCTAACACAAAGAACTACTTTGCAGTTTTTTATTCGTCATCAAAAATGAAAAAGATCCAAAAGTTGAAGAGAGAATAGACTGAAAATAGTTTTCTCAGAAAACAGATATTACTTCTGCTACAGTCTGGGGTTATTAGCCTAGCCTAGCGTTAAGACAGGACACAGTACAAACAGTTAGCTTTAAACAGGGAAATGTTTGTTTCCACATCTTTTATTCTGTCTAACATTGTGTGTAGGTAGATTTTATTTATTTTTTTCCTTTCATTTTGAATTGATCTCTCAAAAATGTCAGATTATGCTTTTCTTGGGAGTCTTGTGCTTATTCATTGGATGACTCGCCCACCTTTTTAAGTTACTTAAGTGCTTAAACACTTTGGCTAGCTCTTTCCCCTTGCTTTCAGTCTTAATGCTAAGCTAAGCTAATCGCCAACTGGAAATATTACAGACAGTTAAGAAATTAGTATCCATCCTCTTGTCTCATTCAAGGCAAGAAATTGAATTCCTCAAGACGTCCAACAATCTAAAATATTTTGCCATGCTTGAATATTTTATGAAAATGCAAGAATATGTTGTGTTTAAGTTGACATTTAGCCTGTTGCCATTTTGTATGTCATTAATTTAACCAAGCAGCCAAATGCAGATGAGAAGCAAACCTCCCTTGGATACCTGTTAAGTCCCTTTTGTATCTCCTGTTGCCATAGCCACAGATTTCCTTTACACAATGACTAATCAGAGTGGAAACAAGCACATGTTCACAAGGGTACAAACAATTTTAACCGCCTGTTGAATTGATTCACGCTTTTATGTGATGTTTGCTGCTGGAGCTGCTCAGAAACTGGCAGCACTTTAAACTGACACCAAAACAGCTGCTCTGAACAAAGAGAAAGTCTCGTTTCATATGTCACATGGAGGCGTTTATAAAAATCATACAAGTGTTCAACAGGGTCCAGTGCATGCCGTTGTTTCACTCTGCACACCAACGGCTCAAACTGGAATGTGATGTGTACTTTACCTCGACTCTCTGCCAGATAAAAGTTATTTATAGGTACTGCAGATCAAATACCAGATATGACCAAGCTGCACAGGAATTATCAAAACACAGCACTTGGTTTTCTTTGATTCTGATCTCTATATTTGGATTTAGCATCAGATTATTTCGGGGTTATCACTCACATGGAAGTCCTGTCTCAACGACGCCTGCTTCGGTTTCTTGTCCCAGTTTTGTGACATTGCATAACATTTCCTCTTCTCCTCCTTCAGGCTCTGGGTTTTTCCTGGTGATGACCTCACTGCTGCTCCTGGCACTGCCCACGCTGCGATGAAGGACCTCTCCTCCTCCTCCTCTCCTCTCAGCTCCCTGCTCCACTACCCGTCCTCCAAAACCTCAGCCGTGACATTCTCTTCTCCGTCTTCCGGCTCCGCCTCCTCCTCGCCAGGATCATCGCTCTCTTCGGCCAAACCTCAGCCCTTCTGCCTCCAGACGGGTCCACATCTCATCGCCAGCATGCAGCTACAAAAACTCAACTCGCACTACCAGAACCTCGCCGGGGCTTCTGCGGGACACCAAGCAACCAGCGGTGCTCAAAGAGGGTTCGGGGCCTCGCCACTGAGCACGGGGAACCAGCTCCTGGGGCCGTCTGGAGGTGGAATGGGTGTCGGCATCAGCATGGGGAACCAAACCTCTGGTCCGGGTGCAATTATCGACTTTGACCCGGTGGACGAGAGGTTCTCATGTCGCTGGTGGTAGAGCTCGGATTGGACCGAGCCAACGAGCTGCCCGAGCTATGGCTGGGCCAGAACGAGTTTGACTTCATGTCGGACGTACCGGCCGGATGCTGACAGATGAGAAGAAAAAACTTTTAAAGATCTATGGAAGTAGTTGACAAAGAGAGAGAAGATGTTCTCTCCTCTATTTTCTTTTTCTTTTTCCTCCTTTTCTTGGTCGATAAAACGACGAAACAGAAGAAACTGCGACAAAGAGAAAGAGATAAGATGCACACTCTGGTTTCTTACTTTCTTTTGAACTCTTTATGGAAAGACAGATGGATAAAAGAAAACCATAACTTGCTTTGGATTTAGTAGTTGTTTTTTCAATCAAGTTGTGCTCTTGCGGAAAGAGGGCTCTGATTTGTATTTTGCTTTTTCATTTGAAGACGAAAAACCTGAACCATGAGCTGAGTAGGAACAGAAGGAAGGAGTCAAACAAACAAAGAGACCCAAGGAGCTCAACTCCCCTTGAAACCAACGAGCAATGGCTGGTTTTATTGGGAACAAAATGATCCACAAAAGACAGGTTGGAGATGTTTGAAGCCTTCTGGAAACAAAACAGTCAAGTTGACGCGCCGGTTTGACTTCTGTTTTTCTCTTGAATGATCAATAGAAACAAGACTTTCTGGGAAGTTTGTGAAGGATGACACGCACTATGTTTCCTGTTTTCTCAATGGACAATATTAGACTCTGGTCTTGTGGGCAAGGGACTCCTGATCCCTTGTTCTTCACAAAGAAATTGCTTGTCTTAGAACTGGTTATCTCAATGTTCTTCTTTTCCGTTCTTCTTCTTGTTTGAATAAAGATCAACCAGTCGAATTCACAGAACATGTTATTTAAGACAGTTGCTGATACCCATCAGGACCTCTAGACAAGGAGCGCTTCTATAAATCGGTTCTACTTCTCTCAACGTAATGAATTAGATAAAAGAGATGTGGATGTTTCAGAGCATGGGACCTGAATGGAGTAATTTGTTTTCTCTTGCTCTGGAACACAGCCCCATTGAAATGGTTGAGGACTTTTGGTCATGTGAGTCGCTACTACATGTACGTTATTTGTTCCCCGGCCTACAGTGTAAGATCACTGACCCAGATGGTGTAGTCAATCTGTTGTCAATTATCCGAGATAGCTCTTCCTGTTTTGAGTGAGGATACAAGGTCTGGTACACATTTGTGTATGCAATCCCAGTGGCAACCCTGCTGTTTTTTGTTTGTCCTGTTTTTACCATCTTTGACGTTTGTTTTAAAATTGTTAATTCAGCCCAAACACACCTTATTATCGCCAAAGCATCATCTGTTTTATCATTATAGACGGGGATTTTAAGTCCACATATTGCAGAGGCTTTATACCTAAACATCAACTGCCTTATGGTTAAAACATTCACAATGTTTATCCAAAGGTTTAAGCTTCAGTACCAAAGTAAACTTGTAAATATTTGAACCCCCAAATAATAAAGGTTATATGCTACTGTTTGCCGCTAACATGTTAGCATCCCAGTCTGCATTTGTACTGCTTTACTTTCCCTTGGCAGTGGAAATGTTTAGAACATCTTTGCAGGTTAGCAGTGCACCCTCCAGCAGCCATATTGGTGATCCTCGAGCTGTTTGGCCGCAGTTGCACATTTAGCAATTTAGCCACTTGCAAGCTAGCCAGCAAGTCCGACTCTCAAGTGTTTAATTATGGCTTCTTAAGCCTGTTCAAATAAGTGTTAGCATTAGCAATACGGGCCGATAGCACGCTGACCATATCCTTACAAAAAAAACGAGATGTAATGAATGTATCACCAAGCAAGTCGTGCACATCCTTTAGCTCGTCAGCCGCTAAAAACACATTAGTTTTCAAGCTAACACAGACAAGAAGCCTTAAAGGTGTTGAATACAATGACAACAGGCACTGAGCTCACACATTTATTCTTGTCCGAGTTTAGCTAATTGCTACCATGCAAGCTTCTGAACATCATATTTTATGAATATTACATTAATTGGAATTTAGCACTTTGCTACTTAAACTCAAGTGCCACTTACAGCGTTTTCTGGAGCTTTAGCTGTGTCAAAAAATGGGATGTTGAAGCTAGCAATCCTTAAAGAGTTGGATTATATCGTGACAGCTTCCGAGCTTTTGTGTCAGACAATTCGAGTGGCAACCGAGCAAACTAACATCTAGAGCTGAAGATATATGGCTTAGGTTATAGTAAATGGACCATGAGGTGGGTTTGTTTTGTGGTCTGTCGGCCTATAGGGTAATTGTTCTTGAGTTGATATACTCAGACTGGGGCAGGTGTTGTTTCTTGCCAGTGCAGACTTAAGTTGTTGGGGGGGGGGGGGGGGGGGGGGTTGACTGACATCCAACCCTCCACCTCCATCTATAGGGGCTGCACGCTGTCTTAGATGGATTCATGGGGGCTTTGACCTATATCTGTTGTGGTAATAGGAGATGCGGGCTCGAACCGTGTGGCAGCAACAAAGGCCTTTCACCTCCAACCCGGTGTGTCTGTCATCTGGGCATTGTGGATCTCTTCTTTGGACCACACACACAAAATAACACCTGTATGTTTATGTGCATGTACACAAAGACCTACAGAAACTCACCTTTGTGTGTTTCACATCCAGAGAAACAATACAACTGTTTGTGTGCAAGCATACAAAGAGCGAGGGGGAAAAAATACACCAAACGCACACACAGAGAGAGAGAGGAGCACTGGGATGGTATTACAGCGGAGAAATGAGAGAAGCAGCCGTGAAACAGGCACTTGTTCAGTTACACACAGACTCGCAGAGAATTGTGAAAAGAAAGAGTGGGAAATAAAATTGTTAGAGTTGTTAAATACAAATACTACGAAGCACTGTAAAAGTCAAGAGAAAATAGTTATAAAAAAAGAGTTATATGTTCAGCAAAGACATTTGCAGATGATGTTTAGAGGTCACACATTATTCAAAACACACTTCACCATGTTTCTCTAACACTAATATATGTCTCTAGTCTGTCTATAAACCCCCCAATGATGAGAAAAGTCCATCCTCTGCTCCACTTTTCAGAAAATGTGTGCTCAAACAGGCCATTTTGAGATTTTCCCTTCATGACATCACAAAGGGCAGTAGCCCCTCCCCCAGGTGGGTGACACTCCCACAGCTAGGTGTTTGTTCTGCCCTCTGAGTCTGCCTTCTCACTGTTAACAATAGGACATGGAGCGAGAAAGCACCGGGTACACCCAAGCCCTTCCAGAGAGAGGGGGCGTGGTCAGACACAGCTTATTTACATATTTAAAGGTACAGACACAGAAACAGCCTGTTCTGAGCAGGGCTGAAATAGAGGGGTTTATAGACATGATCAAATACAGGATCAGAGTGGATTTAGAACAAGAAACTTCATACACATGTTTTGAGGAGCTCTGAGACTTATTTAAACTTTCTGAAAAGGAGGAGGATATGTGACCTTTAAGTGTTGCAAATAAACACAAATTATCCCGCAGTGAAATTAGCTTCACTTTTGGTCACATCACAGCTTTATCGTGTGCAAAGGTAAACAATGAGCAGCAGGTCATCCTTCCTGATGAAAACTTCTTCCAGGCCTTGTTCATTTAGATAAAGACAGGTCGGCTTTCCTCACAGCAGTTATTCTCCTTACCCCCTTTTTGAAGTTGTTTTGGGTCTTGGTTGTTTTTCCCTTTCCTGAATGAAATGGGAGAAGTATTCATTAATGAAAACCCGATGAAGGAGTCCTTTTGGCGGATACCCCCCTCCCCCCCTCTCGTAACAACCACTTTATTGAGTGAGGAGTGAAAGAAGAAATAAAGATGCATCTCATCACTTTTTAAATCCAGCAGACAGACACACTGATTCTTTTCTTCGCCTGTCTCTGAGTCTTAAGTGGGTCAAAATAACATACTTCACTCGAGGACAGCCCCGTGTTTGTTTCCATCTGCTCCACGGTGTTTTAAAGTACTTTTTTTTGTGTGAGTGTGTTGTTTTGCGGTAATCCCAGCTGATTGAATGTTTTCTTTTTTTTTGTTGCTGTGGGATGCCTCTCCTCCCCTCCCCTCCCCTCCCCGAGAAGTTGCCTAGTGGTCGAGGTTGTTTGAATTATCTGAGGGTTTTCATTTCCTCTTCTCCTTTACGCTCAATATTGCAGATTAACCTCCAGAGAGCGACGACCTTTTGAACTCAAATATACCTCACAGCTATTTGGTTTCTAATAACAACTTAGACCTGTGCAAGAAGATATTTCATCTTCGTTTTTGGTTTGCTTTGAATCCCAATCGGGGTGTGTTTGTACGCCTTATTACTGCAGAAAAGGTTGGGGTCACCAGTTGAGCATTTGACTTTCTCAGCACTCTATCTTAAAGCGCTACATTGCTGCTGGTTTTACACTTTTCTGCTCACTACAAATCCAAAAGTTCCAAATAAAGTTCCACAGAGCCAATATTTAGCGATTTCAGCTTCTTAGTTTGACAATTTCATTATTTAACTCTTCAAATATTTAAGATTACAAGCAGTCACAGATTACTGGGTGTTACAAACCATAAGTAAAAAACTAAAGCCCGACCAATTTATCGGCTGGATGATAATATCGGCCGATATTTGCAAATCAAGTAACTATCGGTATCGACAAATTTTATGTCTGATGTCCGATATTACTCGATTTATTTACGAGTCAAATAGTATTTTATTAGAGTTTCATTTTGTTAAACGAGCAGTTATCTTCCTTATCTCACCAGCAGAGGGCGCTATATGGTTTACAATAAGCATTATCACACAAAGACAGAGAATAGGTATAAATTGCTCAGATTCAATGTTTGAAAAAGTTTCTGTAAAACATGTTTGTATCATTTAAAGACAGATGTGGAAAAAACCCAAAATGTTGCGTGTTTACGAGGGTTTTTCAGCAGACTTTTTTGCTGTAAGCAGTTGCTAGGCAACAATCAGAACCTGGAAGTTGCTGCTCCGATATTCACAATAGTTAAAAAAAAAGTTCTTATCCAAATGAACTCCTGTGTGTGTGTGTTGTTTTATTTTGAAGTTGGGATGAGTTTTCATCCTGAGCTTTTTGTGTCAGCGTGCGCTCTCAGTAAACCCCCTCGAGTCACGACTACCCGTCTGGATTTACAGTTTCTACGTGACAGCAGTGATTTGTTACTCACTCGACCGTTTCCCTCCGGGCCTCCGGGTCATGAAAAATGTTCCAGAAAACTTCAACACCAACGGTGATGTATCTGTTACAGGGTTTCCACTGCACATAATGAAGATGCTCAGCCACCGGTCCTCTCGTTACACATCAAGTCGATGCTGCACTGATTCCATCCTTTTTCTTTTCTACATATTTTACTTAAAAACCTCCAGATCATTTTCTTTGATTTTGTTATTTTCTTGTTTTTTTTCATGATGAATGATTATTATTGAAAGATGATTTTTAAAGCACTTTTGCTCACCGGCTCTCACTTGTACATCTATATGAATATGTAAATGAGTTATATTGAAAAAAGGCGTGTATTTTTGTTACGGCTTTGAGTTGAAGGATGAATAAAGAAGGAGAGAAACTTCAGTTGGAGTGGATTTGTTTTGTCATTGAAACAGGACATCGATATTATGTAGGAGGATGTATTTGCTGATTAGGCTTCACTGTAGTAGCTCATTTCTCAACTGGAAGGTTGAGGGTTCGATCCCCAGCTCCTGCAGCCACACGTGTCACTGATGTGTCTTTGAGCAACACACTTAACCCCAAGTTGCTCCCACTGCTTTAAATGTGTATGAATGGGATAGTTAACCCTAAGACTAACAAAGCGCTTTACAAGCTCAAGCCTATTTACCATTTACAAAATAAAATATAGATTGACATTTATCAGCAAATATCAAACATGCAAAATGATTTTTTTATGTCTTTATTTTAGAGGACGTACGGTGGACTAAGTCAGAAATCAATGTGAGAGTAAGTAAAGAATGTCATGCAGGAATTGTGCCACAGGCTGGATTCAAACCCGGGGTCGACCACTCTGAAGACCACACAGCCTCTGCACATGGGGCGTGCAGACCAAACACCAGGCCACCGACACCCCACACAAAATGCTAGTTTTATTGTATTTATTCTTAAATTAAGATTCTAGTTACAATATTCTACAAGAAGTATTTCAGCTGAGACAAAAATGAATAACTGAAGATTAGTTGTTGATACTGTTTTTTCATTTGTACAACGTCTCCATCTGCTGGCACAAAATTGTAAGTACAGTTAACTTGATATTACTCTTATTCAACCATTGCATTTAATGCTTATCTAAATAAATTTTACACCTTTTTATGGCTCGATAAAATTCCTCTGATTTAGTTGTTTGAGTTAGTTTTGAAAACGACATGATTTCCAGTGGAACAGTTCAAAAATGGCCTCAACCAATTCTTCATTTTTATATTAAGAGAATCTTTATCTTCTTTATAATGTTGTAGAGTATAGCACAACAATGTACACTTACCTGGACAACATCTTGTTTTGGCATGTTCAGTGACATGCTTGGTACATAAGGTTGTTAATGGGATCATTTCCAGTAAGTGCTGGTTGACCAGTTCAACATTTCTACTTACAATGAGTTACAAATAACGATTTTCTTACTCCAGGAAACTCGCTTTGAATTTTTTCTTTTGCATGAGTTCAAATCAATCTATGGTTCAAATCAATGATCTGTGAGATAAAATGAATTGTAGAATTTCTGTACACAGAAAAAACACTATAAGATGTTAACTAACATCTCTGCCTGGTGATCTGCTCTTCAAGGATCACGTCGACATAGAAATCCATGTGATGCTGCCCTCTGGTGGAGGAAACATGTTACTGCACACTGACAGATGCAATGAGCTCACGTTGTAAAGTAGAAAACATAATAATCGCCAATCAGGTGCATTGGTATTAAAATAGTTTCCAGGGACACTGGTAGCCTTGTGGTTAATGTTTGCAACATTTAAAAAGAAAATTAGTTTCCTCTTTGCACACAGCATTCAGGGATTTTAACAATTAAGGATGACTCGTATGTATTGTTGGCAAAGATCTTTTAAGCAGCTCGTTTGATTCCTGCCATCATCAGCTGGACTCGATTAAACTCCACATCTGTGTTAAACATTCTGCAGACTGTCAGAGTAATCAAACATCACCTCCTTGTTCCTTTGGCTGCTGGAATAAGATTCCAGGAAATCTGTGTTTGAGGCGTTTAGACTTGTTCTGGATGAAGCGGTCAGTACGGCAGATTTTTAAAGAAGTGGGTCAGAAAATGAAAGAAGAAGAAATGTAAATGTAAACAAACCTCCAAATCCAGAAAACTAACTATTCAACAACTTCATTAAGATATTTACAAAAAATACTACTAAGAAAAAAATGAATTTGTAATTATATATAATCATTACTATCATTGATTTACAATTAGAGACCGACAAATACTTCCTATAAAAAAAAAAAAATGTATTTTGATGCCAATAATAAAGTATTGTTTTGTTCAAGAAACAATTGAATCCTGCAGATGGTACAGAGTCTGGGATCTTCTCATATTCACATTTTTGTGTGTGCAGAACGTCTGAGCGGCGGCATCATGTGTGCATCCGTTGGTCTCATGTCAGAGGAAGACAGAGACCCGGGAGAGTTTAATCTCTCGACAGTGTAAACAGAACCAGGATCTGTCTGTGTCAGTGGCATTTCCTGACCAGAACAATCTCACACACACACACACACACAGACAGGCGAGGGATCAGCAGCAGTATGGCTCCATGGAGGCATATGGGAAAACTCCTATTGTCAAATATATTGAAAATGTAGATTTGCATTTATTCTTGTCAGTGTTTATTTTTCTATTATTATATTTATTTTTCATTTTTCATGTATTGAATTTGAGTTCAGCTTGTGTTTTATTCTACTCTAATAACTTCCCATGCAGGGATCAGAATTGAAACCTAAGTACAATACAGTACCTGTATGAATTAGAGTAGACGTACAGATGGACAGTACAGCAGTGTCTGACAGTGACATCATACATACAAACTCTCAACATATTCTACTGTTATGTATATCAATACCGCAAAACATCGCTAATATCAATATATCCCTATCATCACCATATTAGCCACATCTATTCACAGCGCTGCAGGGGAAAAGCACAGAGCATCCTCAAGGTCAAACAGCACCCAGCTCATGCTCTGTTCAGGTGGAAGAACTCGGGCTATAACCTGCGACATCACAGGCCAGAGAGCATCTCCACCCACAAGGCCCGCTACGCCACAACAGCTTTTTCCCTGCTGCTGCGAGACTTGTAGCACAGGACATTAAGATGGGAAGGAAGTAACTTCACCCCCACACCTCACAGACTAAATGAACAGCTGACCACCTCACAGTGCAACACAAGTGTGCAATATTAACCTTAAAAACAAAAAACAAGTGTAATTATAGAATGTGAAAAACATGTGTGCAATAACCTCAGGTGCAATAAGAGAACGTATTTATATTTTCATTTCAATGCACAGTGTTCCCCTTTGTTATTGTTTTTGTATTATATCTTTGCTTTAATACAGTGTTTAACTTCTGTACAGTTTATTTTAAATCACTTAGCTGTTACTACAACTAGGGACTTGTGTTGGGAACCAGAGGGTCGCCAGAGGGTTCAAGTCCCGGTGCAGACCAAGCATGGAAGTTGGTCTGGTAGCTGGAGAGGTGCCAGATCACCTCCTGAGCACTGCCGAGGTGCCCGTGAGCAAGACACCAAACCCCCTCCCCACCATCAGCTCAGGAGCGCCCGCTGTGGGCCGCTCTGTCACTCTGACATCTCTCCATTAGTGCATGTCCATAGGATCCTGTTTGTGTACATGTGTGTATATGCTTCAGCCTATGTGTGTGTTCATGACTACAGAGTGTAAAAACTGAAATTTCCCCTTACAGGGATCAATAAAGTAAATCTTTTTATTGTTACTTTTACTTTTTTTGTACTTTTTTGTACTCTTTTTTTTTTCTTACAATGCTCTTCTATTTTATATATAATTCTAACTTTTTTTTGTAGGAGCTGACTCAGGGAGAATTCCAATGTACCTGTACTGTCCTGTACCTGAGCAAATGGCAATAAACATCTATTCTATTATGTTAATCTTTATAAAATGATTTAATACTCCTGATCAACAGAAGCTGTTTTAATAACATAAATTAACATCTTATATTTAATAAAACTAGGAAATATAATCCCCCCAATAAACCATTTTCTTGTAAATAAAATAAAAAAAGTCGGTGTTAAACTGTTTAAAACCTAAAACGCGGCTGCAGTAGTTTGTCCCTCCCACTCTGCCGTACTCCGCCTTATCATTCAATACCGGAAGAAGGGAGGTCCTTTTCCCCCGCAGACTCCAACATGGTGAGCCGTTTTCCCTCACGATTCTCCTCTGAAATAATCACTAAACATCACTTTTTGCTCTTCTTTTATCAAACACGTATCCGTCCTGGTTTAAAATAACACTTCTTATCGACCGATCGAGCTCTAAATTGTAACCGGAAGTGTCGATTCTTGCTCTTTTATTCGTGATTTTAAATCGGCTGACACTTTGGTCAGGCTCGTTAGCATCAATGTGGCTATCAGCGTTAGCATGCAAGCTCAAACTATAACTACTCTTTGTGACAGCAAATCGCATTTTTTACTCTGTGTCACCCTCTGTAAAGCTGTTTACACTCCTTTTATTGACGTTTCGGGTTTTATTGATAATTAAATGTTTAATTAAACAACATTAAACGACCCCGGTGTAACCAGGCCGAAGCCGGGTGATGCTAACGGCATGTGAGCTCACAGTGCTGCCCAGAAAGCTCCAGTTCTCTTCAGAAATCAGCAGTTTTCTTCACTTCTGAAGCAGTATCTCGTGTTTTTATACTCCCAGCCTTCACTGGCAGTAGTTACTAACATTATTTGACATGATTTTTATCCTGTTTTTCTTCAGGCAAGAGGACCGAAGAAGCACCTGAAGCGCGTCGCGGCGCCGAAGCACTGGATGCTCGACAAGCTCACCGGAGTGTTTGTGAGTGTTTGAGTGTTTCTGAGTGTTTGAGTGTTTCTGAGTGTTTGTGTTCCTCTACGTGGATGTTAAACCATCGTCTGACTTCAGTCTGGACCCTGCAGGCTTTGTTTTAAACTGTAAGGCAGCTGTGTTTACTGCAGGAGAGACAGAGAGGTCATGATGGAGCAGGTCAATGTGTTTCTTTGAGTCTCCATGTGACTCTATGACTTTATAAAACTGATGGTTTCTCCTTCTGTGTGGTGCATGTTGATGATGTCAGACAGGGCGACACATAAAGATCAGATTCATGGATTGATTTTGATTGTTTTAAGATTTGTGCAGCTTAAAGGATGCAAACATTAATTTGTCTTCATCGCCTCAGTTTGCATGAATGACACAACCAGTGGAGTGTTCCCAATTATTCTGATCACTGAGATAATCCCTCCATTCCCCCTCAAACCCCCCCACACAGGACGACCTCACCGGACTGTAAAACACAATATAACATCACAAACGTGCAATATATTCATCTGTACATCATTTATATCTGCACTACAACGAGCCAAATGCAACAACATTTCGTTCTTTTCTATCTTATCGAGTTTGAATGACGATAAAGAAAGTCTGAGTCTATTTGAGTCTCCGTAGGGTTAACTCACTTCTAAATACCTGTTTACTTGTATTGCGTTATGTAACTTGTTGCAGCGATGCAGTCAGAGTTGGGACACTTGAACCATGTAGTCGTCTCAGCCTTCACTCACTGAACTCTGCTCCTCTTCTTGTGGTGATCTTCAAAACAATCCCTCCTCCTCAAAGTCGAGCAGCAGAAGTAGACTGTGAATATAAAAGATTCTAGAGTCCGTTCATTTGTCGTTTCTCGGATGTATCTGCTAAATGCTGTTTTCTCAGCCCGAGCCGTGTGACAGAATTTAATGTGTTTGACCTTTAAAGACCAGAAATGTCTTTTGGGATGTTTCTCACTGCTCTTTCTTCATCTTTCAAGATTATTTTTGCCCTTTTTGTGCCTTTATTGGAGAGATAGGACAGTGGATAGAGTCGGACATCAGAGAGAGAGAGAGAGGAATGAAATGCAGGGAAAGGAGCCACAGGCCGGATTCATACATGAGGCGTGCGCACTGCACCACCAGCACCCCAGATTATACATCTTTTAAATTCTATAGCTTGTAACTTAATTGAAGTTGAACTAGGACACATTCTTTGAGGAATCACTCAGGTCTGTTAGAAGTCCTTCTCTTAGACAAGTAGAAAAGAAGTCCAGAGAGACTGTTAGGCAGATTTGTGTTAGCTTGGTGTTATGGATCATGGTTTATATGAAGCTTTCCTCAGTATTGTTTAAGACCATTATGTAGCTCAAGTTAATAAGTGAATGATTCCCCCCCCCAGGCTCCTCGCCCCTCCACCGGTCCCCACAAGCTGAGGGAGTGCCTGCCCCTCATCATCTTCCTGAGGAACCGCCTCAAGTACGCCCTGACCGGAGATGAGGTGAAGAAGATCTGCATGCAGAGGTTCATCAAGATCGACGGCAAAGTCCGCACCGACGTCACCTACCCCGCTGGATTCATGGGTGAGCCGCCTCTCAGTGCAGCTGAAGTGTACATGTGACCGTCTGATCTGTAGAGACACGTGACGGGTTTGAGTGGTAACGGGTGATAACAGGCAGACGGAGCGATGATGATTTATTTGGTTTTGATCAGTAATGAGATGAAACTACACGACCAATTCCTCTAAGAAGTTCTGAGCTCCAAATACAACACGTTTTCAAACATGTTACAGGAAAGTAAGAAGTCTCCTCCAGCTGGGATGAGCAGCGAGCAGATTGTGACTTACGTCTGAAATGTGACCAGCGAGACATCGGCTGTTATTTCAGTGAATGAAGCTCACGTTGTTTTTCTGTGTCGGCTGTCAGAGTGTTTCTTTTAAAGGTCTGGATTGTACATTGTTGAAAACTTTGGATTTGTTTGGGTAAAGGTTGTGATATTGTGGGGATCAGGTGTAACTTGGATGAAGCTGATTGGAAGAGAACGAGTAGTTATTCTACCTGATCTGTCTGTGAACACGAGGAGGAGGATGTGCTCTCCTGTGCTCATGAGGTGTGTTGGACTGGATGTTTCTGATTACAGGTGTCACCGTGTGGTAGAGACACAACACCATTAATGTTGTTTTGTTGTCACTCGCTCTCACCTCTCTCAGATCTGACACCAGGTCAGTCCCACCATGACCTCGTGTGGAGGTGTGGTTTTTCATTTCCAAAGCCGAGGGAAGCCGTCACACACACACACACACACACACACACACACACACACACACACAATATGTTCCTCTGTGACAGGAGCCAAGGGGGAAAAGTTTGACTACATCTGTTGAAATAAGAAGGGAGGCCGTTCTTCTCAGGAGTCGTGAGAAGTGTCACCAAGTTAGATTTTTCCTGTTTGATTTGGATGAATATTTGAGTAACTTCACCTGAACCAGCTGATGGAGAACCTTATTAGAATCATTCTGTTCTTTGGACTCATGCTCTTCATGTTTTGTGTCTTGTTACTTTTCTCCCTACTTCATTTTTAGTCCTCTAACTGATCAGCACTGAACACAGAATCCTCTGATTGAGACCTGAGTTATATTTCCATAAAGTTCAGCGAAAGGGGGCGTGGCCTTAAATTGGGATGAGCTTCTTTTTGGAAGTCGTGTGAGACTGAGTCTGGTACCTGAACATGTGGAGAAGAGAGACCTTCTTATGCGGACGCTCAGAAGTTTATCAACACAGCTCCAAATCTGTGACGGTGCTCTGATGTCACCGTGCTCTGATGTCACCGTGCTCTGATGTCACCGTGGTCATTCATTTGCTGTCGAAGCCGGAGAACGGCGAGGAGAAGCCGGCGCTGTTTGTACTTTTTTACGTTTGAACGTCGGGACGCTCAATGTTTTACTGTTTTGTGTTCTCTCAGATGTGATCAGCATCGAGAAGACCGGAGAGCACTTCCGTCTGATCTACGATGTGAAGGGACGTTTCACCGTCCACCGCATCACCGCCGAGGAGGCCAAGGTGAGAAAGCATTTTTCAGACATTTTTTCGGCCGGTCATTTGATTGAAAGTTTAAATATCTGAGTCAGGGTTGAAGAGAACGTCCTGACCCGTCTCCCTCTCTCCCTCTGCAGTACAAGCTGTGCAAGGTGAAGAAGCTCATGGTCGGCACCAAGGGAATCCCCCACCTGGTGACCCACGACGCCCGCACCATCCGCTACCCCGACCCCCTCATCAAGGTCAACGACACGATCCGCATCGACCTGGACACCGGCAAGATCACCGACTTCATCAAGTTTGATACCGGTGCGTTTCTCTCTCCTTCAGATCGACACATTCTTCTGCTTTTTAATGAAGAATAAAGTTTTTAAAAACTCTCTCTCCTCCTGCAGGAAACTTGTGCATGGTGACCGGCGGCGCTAACTTGGGGCGTATCGGTGTGATCACCAACAGGGAGCGTCACCCCGGATCCTTCGATGTGGTCCACGTGAAGGACAGCACCGGAAACAACTTCGCCACCAGGCTCTCCAACATCTTTATTGTCGGCAAGGTGAGACTGCGTTTCATTTATATCCTGAAAACACGGCCCGATGGAATCACCGCTGCAGGCTCTCAGTTTATTTTAACCACGAGGGGAACTTCCTCGGTTGAGTTTTTGGAGCAATGATGACGTTTTTGGTTTTGATCAGCACTGAAAATACACGACCAATTCCTCTAAGAAGTTCTGAGCTCCGTCACCACAAACACTTCCCATCTTCAGAAATGAACGTTAATGAGCTTCAGTTTTTTAAATCAATTGCTGTGTTCATAATGAGACGACCTCAAAGAAACTGAATTCGTAGTGAGAGGGAAAAAAGACTTGAAATGTAATTAATTGTAAAAACTAGACTAGAGAGTTTGTAGTTTGATGTTAGAGTGAAGATCCTCGTCTGTGATTTAGTCAAACTAAGAGATCTGTCCTGAGGAGAGACTCTGCTGTAAAACAAAAACCTTTCTCTGATGCTATCGGACGTTTATCGGAAGTTGACCGAACCTGCAGACAGCCTCATCTTTCTACTGGGTGACCTTTATCATCGACGGTCTGGGCTCTGAGCTTTTCTTTGACTTGATGACGACTCAACGCTGAGATGTCATCAGTCTGATCGATGTCATCAGTCTGATCGATGTCATCAGTCTGATCGATGTCATCAGTCTGATCGATGTTGAACACCAGCTGCGTTTAGTGTTTCTAAATGGTTAACTGCATGTTTCAAATCGATGACGATTACGTTGTTAAGTCACTCCATCTAGCACGCTTTGATTCTTTTATGACTTTGAATGAAGTTGTCTGGAAACTTCGGTTTCCCACTTAGGCTGTCTAGAGAGGAAACTGGTTAACCAACAATGACATCACTTCAAGAAGCGTTTAATTTAGAGATATTTATGAGCTGCGTAAAGAAAAGGACGACATTCTTTAGGATCTGATCGTGTTCAGTCTTCATTCATCCTTACTGCTCTCTGTTTTCCACCTGTTTCCCCTTTGATCCTCATTTACAAACCCCTGTTGTCTCCATCCTCTCCGTCTCCAGGGCAACAAGCCGTGGGTGTCCCTGCCCAGAGGAAAGGGAATCCGTCTGACCATCGCCGAGGAGAGGGACAAGAGGCTGGCCGCCAAGCAGGGCAGCAGCTAAACACAGACAGCCTGAGCCCCTGGTTTTCAAATAAACTGTTATTTACAAAACGAAACACGTCTGTTTGGACTCTTTCTTTAACTTCTAATCACACAGAGCGGTGAAACAGAAGAAAAGGTGACAATAGAAACATGACTGATGGACAGATCCCTCATGATTCTGTCAGTACGGTGGCCCTCTAGGACAAAAGAAGAAACTGAACCCTGGTCCTGTTTATTTTCAGCTCTAACAGGTGAATGTGTCTGCTGTGTAAAAAGTCTTCAGGTACTTTTTAAAGGGTTTTATGAAGGTAAATAATTTCTTGTCCAGGAGGAAGTTAAGACGACACATAAAATATTAAATTGGGAAGTTAATTGATTTAAGTTTTGTGTTATAACAGAAAATTAAAACATAACAAATAAAACATTTGCAGGTGAGGTAGAAAGCCATGAGGAGTTATCTCAAAACCTCACTAAGAGATTAAACAAAGTTAAAATAAAATACAGTAATCTCTTCATTACTGTCAGTGTTAGCAATAAGTTCAAACTTAAATTCTCATGACACCAAATAGAAAAAGGTCAATTTCACCTTTTAAACACGAGTGAGGAACCACGACTCACAATCTTTATAAATTGTCCAATTTAAGATGCTTCCATGAATTTTTGTCTTCGCATTTAAAATATGAAGAGTAATATGTATTAATACGACACAAATAGTTGCACGGTGTAAAAAAAACCAAAAGTAAACCAGAGGTGGGATGGAGATGCTGAGTTTCCTCACATCTAAACCCGATGTTGTCTTTGGAGGAGTGCTGATAGCCTTAGTGGTTATGTTGTGCGGCCCAGGTAACGATGCTATAGTCGTCGTCGCAGCAGCCGTGGGTTAATATCTGACCTCGGCCGTTTGCTGGATGTAATCCCCCTCTGTGGACATCAGTCGTTCATGTGAGGCCTGTAAAGTATTTTAATAACGAGGTTTTCTTTGTGCAAGCAGCAGAACCTGAGTACCAAAAGAAAAGTCACATTTAAAGGTGTACTGTCCCTTTAAGTCATCAGCTGGGACTTCTTTGCTCGATCTCACCAGCTGGTTAAAATCTCATCTACACCTCTATTCTCTCTATACAAAACAAAAACCTCTCCATCTCCACCTGCCCCCGTCCTCCCTCCGTTCCTATATCTAATCCCTCCATCCTCTTTTTCCATCCCATCCTGCACGCATCCATCTGTTTACACTCCTAATCCCTCTGCTGCTTCCTATTCTCTCTCTCCTTTTTTTCCACTTTCATCCCCTCCAATCGCTGTTTCCATGTTCCTACCTTCATCCCTCCTTCAGTGTTCACAGCTTTCATTTCCTACCTGAGCTTCTTTTCTCCTTCTCCTTCCTGAGATCATTTCCAGATTCCTCCCTCACATGCATCCTCTTGTTTCCTCGCTCACCCACTCTCTTTTTTTAAACATTTTTTAAAGGTTTATTTTGGAGTATTTTAAGCCTTTGTTTTAGAGATTGGACGTCGTATAGAGTCAGAAATCAGAGACAGAGAAAGAGTGGGTAAGGACGCAGGAAAGGAGCCACAGGTCAGATTTGAGGACTACATCCTCCATACATGGGCTACACGCTAACCACAAGGCTACCGGCGCCCCCCCCTCACTGGTCTCTTCACTCAAAGTAATTCCTACAGTCATTCCTTAAATACTTTCATAAGCTTGTCTCTTCTCTGAATCTTTTTCTGCCTCCTCCTTTAGTTTACATTTTTTTCTTCAATAAGTTTTCCTGTCTCCTTTTTTGGCTCGATCTTTTCCTCCATTCCCCAGACTTCAATAAATCCTATAAACCCAGAATGAAAGTGTTTTTTTTTTCTCTCTCAGTTCCCTCCTTTCCTTATGAAGGAGTCTTACCACACTATTAATGAATAAAAGAGATTTCAAGAAGAAAGCCGTAATTTTCTTAAATATAAAAACGTAATCTAGCGAGAATATGGTCACAAGAGAATAACGTAGTAGTATAAGAGAACTCCGACCCTTCAAAACAACATATTAACTTATCAAAGGCTAACATCCACAGACTGTAGATATGAATGTTTGAAGCCTGAGTGATGTCAGCCGTCTTTTCCTGCAGGGGGTGCTGGAGGCTCACCGGCAGCAGCCGCCATGCTGGAAATGCTGTCTCAGTCTAACTTTCAGTCAACCTAACGGACAGGCTGAGAGCTGGAGCTGAGGCGGGTTTTAAACCTCTTGACAAACCGTTACATCACACCCACCTGTCAATCATGTCAGCTACACACCTAACTATGGATAACACGTATCGTTCATAAAATCAAAACGGATGTTATAAAGAAATCGAGCCAGCCTCTAGTGGACACTTGGGGGAACTGCAGGATGTTGGATTTCCGTATTTGCTTCATTTTTCAACATCTGTCCTTTTTAAACTAATTTCTCTCCCCTCCCTCTAGATCCCTCCTCAATTCAAATATCCTCTCCTCCTTCATCACCTACACTTATTCACTATCATTGTGTTCTTCCCTTCTCTAAGACCTCCTGCGTTCTTTTTTTACCCTCTGTACACCGTCACTTCCTAGCCTTCCAGGCCATTTTACCCCCTTACCTCCGTCCTCCTTTAAATCTTTCCTCTCCATCTTTCTGCAAACAGTCTCCATCTTTCCCCTGCATTCATTCCTCCATCCTCTCTCCCTCCGTCCCTCCCCCCTCTCTCTCTCTCTGTGTCCTGACTTCAGAACCGGTCCATATGGTGATGCTGGGACGCCGCCTGCTCTGCGCTGCAGAAACCTGGCCTGGCACGCACCTCCTCAGCGTGTGTGTGTGTCTCTGTGTTTGTGTGTGTACGACTGTGTGTTTTGCTTTTTTCCGGCCTTCAGATTCACCTGCGAGCGAGTGTTTGCTAAAAAAACAAAAAAATCAAAGAACGAGAGATCAACGCTGTCCTTCTTCCCCGGCGACCTCCATTACCATCCGTGCCTCTCCGACACAAGAAACCAAAAATGATTCATATCGGAGCAACACACACACACACACACACACACACACACACACACACACACACTTACACAGCAGGTAGGTGTGCTTTAGTGTGTGTGCAGAGGGGCACGGCTCACTCCCGTGACCGTCTGCTCCATGACACTCTGTACAGTACTGTAATCCATCATTTCTGGCAGGCAGAAGTAAGGACGGTGTGTGAATGGTTTATTATTCACAAGGCTATGTTGTCAATTTGACAGTGGTGAGTTTATCGCTAACCTTACCTGCACTGTTTGAAGTTCTCTTCAAAGAATCTGAAAGGTTTGTTTTGTCTCATTAAGTTAACACAAGCTACATGATTGTAGGATAATTTCCTTCAACTCACTAGCAAATAAAAATATGCATAAAAGACTTTAACCGTAAGAAAAACAACAGTTTAAAAAACATCACAAATGCAGAAAAAGTTCAAAACGGATTTGAACACGTGTCCGTCAATCTCAGGGTTACGGCTGTTGCCTAGCTAGCCTAGCCTAGCCTTTAGCCTATCTTATCACACTAACAGGACCAGCTGCATAACGACAGGTAGGCTAGCTGTCATGCCTTAAAGGAAGTCAGCCTTTTTCGACGGATGATAATTATGGTTTAAGTTTGAAATTGTAGTTATTGTTTCTATCTGTAGATTTACTTTAATATAACAACTTATTTGAAATAGGCTACCAATGTTTAAGCTAACATTTCTGACATCGCTATCGCTAGCTAACATACAAATGTTGAATTGGGAAATTAGTGCAGATTTATGTACATGCCCATTTTAGTTCACAACCTCACAACTTCACAACAGGTCCAGATGTACCTTTAAAAAAATTAATTCTTTATCTAAATCTGTGTGAGAGTATGTGCGACAAATTAAAAACTGATTGTTTGACGATGAACTTTGACCTCATCTTGACTCCAGGCTGCATGTGAGGTTATGTAACATAATGAAATAGCAGATTTTAAGTACATTAAATGTTTTTTGCTTTAGTAACTGAAGTGGCAGCGTTGTCCTAATTTTTCACCGCCCTGGGACCAGTTGTTGTAAACAAACAAGTACACACACTCACGCACACAAACAAACATGCACGGTCTTTGAACAATGAAATACGAGACCCGCCAGACGCATGCTTTGTTTTTCTCCGGTCCTGCTCTGAGTCCCCTTGCGAGCAGAGCAACAATCCCATTTGATTCACACACAAACACTCATTGCACAGTCACACAGAGACTTTGAAGTTCTGGATGGCGAGAAAAAAGCAACAAAAAAAAAAAGAAGAAATATGAGCAACAGAGAAAAACATCATTAATGTGAGCATTAATATGTTGAATTATCTCACTGAGGATTAAACACAGAACAGGAACGCAGAACAGACTCGCAATAAAACAGATAAAAACAGGCATTAAATCTCAGTTAATGATGAATTATAATGCATCAAATCTGCGTACAGTTAAAGCTGTAACATAATTTAAGAAGCTAATAATGAGGCTTTGTTTGTCGGAAAAAGTCCAAAAAGTCATGTCTGGAGAAACTGAAAGTTAAACCTTTCTCATCTTGATTCATGATTTTGTCATGAACTTAAAGATCTCACAAAACTTTCATGGACAGATTTCAAACATTTTTGTTCCTAGAATTTTTCTAAAAACATTAGCAGGACACTAAAAACCTTAGTTTAATTAATGGAGCTTAAAGGCTTTATATGTGATTTTTTGATCCAGCAGATGTCGCCCTTGAGCCCCAGCATGAAACCAAAACAACTCGCGCTGCATTGTTGTGTTAGCATGCTAATGCTAGCGATCTTTATTATGCTGGTATCTTCACACTGCATGTAAATTTACCTGAAATGAGCGTGATCTAGAAACACAGTTAAGCAGTGAGTACAGTATGTTATTCTTCTTTTCTCTAGTCCCTCAATTAAACAACTTTTATACGTGAGGGGAGGAGTCAGCCGGCCGTCCCGGCGATGTAAACAAAGTGAAGATAGGACTCTGAAAACTCTGAAAACATCACAGACAGTGGGACTCGGGTGTTACACCCATTGTAGACAGTCATGACTCAGAGTTATTTTTAGAG